AGAGAGATTGAAAAAAGAAAGACAAGGAAAGAATAACTAGGAGTGCGACGTAAAGAGGGAGAGAGAAAACGGTGCTGGAACACGAGAGTAAAACAGGAAGGAATAAGGCGGGGAAGTGAGAGGGTAATGGTCAGAGAAAGAGAGAGGACAAAGATAGGGACAGAAAAAAAGAGCGAGTGAGAAAGCTGCCAAATGCGGGGCCGTCAGTGCAATCAACCCGTTGCCCGCCCGCGAGGGTAAAACTACCCCAAAGTCAAACGAGGATACGTATATTACAGAGAGAGCACCATCGCNGTACGACGCTATATATATATATATATATATATATATATATAGCAACATGTATGTGTATACATATCTGCACATGCAACGAAGAAAGATATAAAGAAATAGAAGAGCTATAAAATGATAGTATGTAAAAAAGGAATGCTTCGCTATTAAATACTAATAGAAAACTCTGTCGGTAAAACAGACATGTCTATTAAAATTTTCGTTGCTAAGGCGTATTTAATTAATAGATGTATAAAATCCTGTAAAATATATATTAATTTTTAATCTAAATTTAAAAATCTTTATGAATCTTTATTAATCTAAATTTAAAAAAATTAAAAATTGATATTCAATTACAAAATATAAAGAAAAAAAATCATATTGTATTTATAATTTAGTTTCTATTGTTAATTATTCGAATCAACAATACCGGAAATGAAACTTAAATATTTTGTTTTAAATTTTAGAGTCTAGAATCATTTTAGAGTCTAGAATATTTACTACATACAATAAACAATTATATAATATATTTCTATGAGACGGAGAATTTAAAAAAAAAAATCTAGTAGTTGCTGTTAAGAAGTTCAGTTACGATTCGTTGTTGAAAGGCACCTTGCGGTACGTCCTTGCAGACGTTCCAAATATTCACGAGTGGAAAGGATCATGGTATATACGGGTACGAGATTAAACTCACGCGCGAGGGTGTCGAGGTTTTCGTTCCTTCTGCTGTTGCTGGTAAGGCGCAGTTGCTCTATTCTCCTGGAACCAGTTTTCCTCCACACGCTCGGGAGAGCGTGAGCGCGCGCGCGCGCGCGTGCGCGAAGGATAGAAAAAGAAACATATACTAATATGACGGACACGCATACATACTCCCTGTACGCACACGATTAACGCATACGTTGCTATATATGAGCCAGAGCCATGCGTACGTGCTACGTACACCTATACGCTAAACTAGAAAGTTGCCCCAGCCAACGTTGAAGAAACAGCGATATACGATGGACTAGAGCCTTTCAAATTTCAATTGTTTTTCAAAAAGAAAAGTATTTCATTTTATTATAAATAAAATAAATATATCTTTATTATTTAAAGTATATAAAAAACTTAAAAAAAAAACAAATAAAAATTTATCATATTTAAATAATTATTTTTCAGAAAATAATTTTAATAATATATCAATTAAAATATTTATATCAAATATGAAAAAAATATAATGTTTTTGATTATACATTATCTTGTTAGAAATAGAGAACTTAATTTTATAATTCAAATATTTTTAATATTATATTAAGTATGGAACATTTCTTTCTTTAATCTTATTATATTATAGATAAATTAAAAAATAAATAGACAATTTTATATTAAATAAGAAAATTCTACCCTCAAATGTTGTATGATTATTGCGCCGACAACCCCATTCTTACGAGTAGAAAGTTCGTGTAGAGATATTTTGTTCAGCGCAAGAGCGACATCGTGCGAGACCTCAGAGCGTGGGTATCAGTACGGAACCGAGTCTACAACGCATTGGCGCTGCGTTGCCACGTTTCGAGGTCTCTCTTTTTCGTCCCCTCTCTTTTTTCCACGTTGCCAATATTGCATTGTCTCGTTCTTTCTTGATTTTCTCTGGTTACGCAGCGTTGCCAATTCGACTGGCGGGAAAACTGGGTTTCGAAACAAATTTTCCTTCGCTCACGGCACTCTTTTGTGACGGACATTGCTAAAACTTTTTTAATAAATACCTTTCTCGCGGCAATTTTATATGGTAATTCCTGTTATTACATTTACATTTTATTCTTAGGAAATTAAAAAATTAAGTAAAATCAATAACGAATAATTTTCAAAACTATTGTATAAAAAAAATTTTTTATAATTTTATCATTGTTTAATATGTAATTATAAAAAAAATACACAAAATGAAGAAAAAAATTTTAATTGAAGTCGAATTTATAATAATTATGGATAAAAGTTTTAAAAATTTCTAATTGCATAGTTACGAGAACTAATTATCATAGATTTCAATAATGGATTTTTCCATTAAAATTTAACTTATCGCTCTTCATTTTTAAAATAGAAAATTCCTCATTTTGGAAATACCATTCAAAGTAATTACTTCACTAATCGTCTTTTCTATCGTTCGGGTCATATAGAAGAAAACGAAGAAGTAGAGAAGAGAAGCTTGATCTGGTGGAGTACAGGGAGGAAGGAGGGTAGACGGTTTTAGACTACGGACTCGACGCGTCGGCGTCGAGTTAAAAATAACAGTAACAGCAGCAGCGGGACAGAGCCAGTCTTCAGCGTCTACGTCGTCTGCGTTTACTGCTAGCTCTTTCTCGTTACTGTTCTAGCATTACTCGTATCATCTAGTAGTAAGCTACATCATCGATATTGATAATGGCGTAGAACTGTTTTGATATAACCTTGAACATAGATACTATTATTAAAAACTAAAGAAAACGCAATCATATCTGCGCTATTTTTATAATTAAAATAATTTTTTTATTATATTATTTCCTAGTAAGAATCATTGCAATCATACTAGATTTGCGTTGATACATTCATATCTTGCTAATACCATATCGCGTGATGTTCTTACCATATCTATATTGTATATTATCGAGACGAGAACGATAAAGAGAAGACCAGTATTCGTCGCATTTATCATATTTAACTTTATCCTTGCATCTGCCATCTATAAAACTACTTCTGCAAATGAAAATTATGTATATACATATATATATATGTACATATATGTACGCACAAAATCACGTAAAATCTGAATCTTTGTTAAAAAAAATTAGAAAAAATGCAAAGGTTAAATAGTTCCGTTTAATTGGAATATTATACCATAAAGGAATCCATCGCATAAATACTGTAATAGATCGATTTTACCACTGGAGTCTGTTATTGAAAACAGTTTAATCCTACGTTTTTGATGCACATTTATCAGTTGCCAGTTGCATCTAAGTATTGATCATATATCAACAAATGTTTAGAACGATTAGTTGATCGCAAAAAATAATTAAATATTTCTGCAATAATCTTAATAATCAACAAAATTTCGACGTGATGATTTTTCTACGCAGGAATTGGAAGATTTACATTGCCGGCGTTACTCGTACAAACTTCCCATCGCTAATTACCAACCAACGACGGGATCGAGCAATCGGTAAGCAGCAGCAAGAGACGTCAGCCGTAACGGCGCAGCCTTGAAGGAACAGCAGTGGCGACGCGTTGCTTCGTCGCGGCGTCGAAAAAACGATATCGCGCTTATATGCCGCCAGTTGGCGTTGCATTCGCTTCTACGCGCGCTCGCTTCGAGAAAAGACGCGCGCGCGCGAATGCTCTCACACGTTCTCTCATATATGTGCTCTCTCATATACGCGCTTTACAAATTTGACTTTCACGAGGAGACTCGTTGGTTCGTCGTCGCACGTAACCTTGGCTGCGTCGTCGGAACGGGCCGCGAACATCGTGCAACGACGGGACGGATTTTATTTTCGTATCGTCGTCGTCTCGTTGTTTTGCTTGCCTCTGGTTTCACCAGCGCGCGTGGCTGACACGCTCGTAAATTCGACTCGTACGATCTCCTTTAACGTTCTTGAACGTTTCAATGATTTTTCGATGATGGGTTCGACTTACCTTGCCTGTGAAACGACACCAACATGAGTGGCGAACGGTACACAAATCATTTTGTAAAATTAGCAAAATCGGTTTCTCGGATGCATTCGACGTCATTACTTCGGTGAAAGCAATCAGGAGGGTAATGTCAGATAGAAACGCTCTTTAACCCCTTAAATTCGTAATATTATATTTATCGCATATTAAATTGAAATTATTCTTATATAATATTACGTAACTAAATTTTATACATTTCATTTCACATAAATACAAATCATTAATTACGAAAAATAATGTTATAAAAATTTATGTAGAAAGATAGGATATTATCATATAGATAATATTAAAAGAAAAAAAGTATTTCTTTTATTTCGAATAAGTTTTTTAAAAAAACAATAACGAAGTTCGTCTTTTAAAGGAAAAGAATAGTTATTATTACGAATTAATTTTTTATTTTATGAAATTAATTAAATTTTTTTACATATTTTTTAATATTATGTACATACATTTTATAAATTGATTAATAATTTACTATTATATTTTATTATTAAATTATCTATTTATAATATTTTTATATGTAAAAAAAGGGCCATTCAATTTAAAAGAATTAAAAAAAAAATTTCTGAAATTTATTTTCATACAATTATTGATCAATTAACGTATTATATCGATCGTGTAATTTGGAGTTTCACACTACAACAATCATTCTTTAATTCTCACATAATCGATTTATTTTTTTTTTCTTTTTACATCCACCAGCTATCGTAGACGTGCTGACAACGTACACTCGGTATCGTGTTCTTCAGCCCGCTCGTGTCGAGCGGCTGCCTTATGCAAGCGATTTTCGCTGGAGCTTCATTATATCAGTCAATTTTGCAACGTCGGTTATTATTCGCGGCAAAATGTATAGGAAAAAAACTGCAACATTCTATCTTCAATTTTTCATATAGAAATTTCGAGACTCGAAGAATATAACATACTAATATATAAATACAAATATGACCAAGATATTTCGTTTTGAATGTGATATAACTTCATCAAACTTCGCACTATTAACATGTATATGTTATCTATTCTCCATGATTCTAGACAGTCTTCGTGCAATATCTTAGACGTTATATATACATATATAAACAAAAGAAACAGACTTTACATTTGACACAAATCAATTCAACTATGATTGGTCTGTGATAATGATTCGTAATATACATGAGAATAATTAGTTATGAAAATGTTTATGAAAATCTATCATCTTCATTTATAGTTTTTATGAAATTAAATATTATAATTTAAAAATTCAAAAAATTGTATTATAAATATTTCATAGTAGTATATCTGTGGATATTAAGAAAGTCTATAATTATAAATTTATATGCATTTTGGTAATTTTAACTATATTAGTGTAATAAAATAATATTGGATGGCGAAACGAGGATTGTATCCCGTGTATTCATCGTCATTTTCAATATCTCATAATCTCCTTAATATAGTTGCACTTTGCTCGACACCGAGCTAGGAATAGCCGAGGCAGGATACGGGAACAGTTACGACCCGGGCCGGTATTGCTCGAGGCGATCGTGCAAGGACAGTACCGCTACAGGCGAATATCTTCCATTGCCATTCTTTCTTTTTTCGCGGGAATTTATCGCGTGAAAAATCTATCTTTACCAAAATAATCTAACAAAAAAGTGTTGACATAAAAATGTATCATTAAATAAATTATTAAAATACACTATTAAATGCTTAAAGAATAAGAGTGTATATATACTTGAGGCAATAATATATTATCAATCAGTTGTATAGTTCATACAATAAAAACTTTTTCTCCCAAAAAATTTGTTGCCTTTAAAAAAACTTGTTCCAGTATTTTTCTTCTTCACAAAACCGAAAATTCGTAGGTATCATCATACGACAACGATCTTCCGGTTCCGTATATGTAAATATAGAGAACAGCATAACATCCGACAATGAATCAGTGAATACCTGAAAAAGGTAGGCCAAGTATCCTCCGTAAGGATCAACAGAATGATACTTGGCGTTTGAAAACATAGGCATAAGAGATCATTTAAGAATCGCATTAAGCCGTACTTTTTGGATCATTCTCGACCATATCCGGAAAGTCATCAAAGTTCTTTTCGATATCTTTCTCTATTCTTCTCTTTCTTTTGTTTTTTTTCTTTCGTTCGATGGATATTCATCGACATCGAGAATAAGAGAATAATCAAGCAGCAGGATGAGAACGATTATGCCTAGAGTTAGTCGATTCTCTCCATGCTTTTCTACCGACTGCGTATTTGACGGTGAATATCGTGTAAGCAGCCGGAATATTGCATTCTCGTTTTCTTGTGTAGCCAACGCGGCCACACCTTTCACCAACACCCAACCGGCTGTCGTTGGCCTAGCTGGCTCTCTAGTCTGGTGAACGCAATGGCTGCTGCTGTGTGGTGCTTGGTTGGCTGGTCGGTTGGTCGTACGACCAGCTAGCTCCCCGATATACATCCCGTAGCTTTTGCTATTAGACACACTAGTTGTGTATACTACGTGTACTCCGGCTAACAGTAAACTCTTCCACTTGGCTCCTCCAGCATCGGTGAGAGACGCGACGAGAACGCAGTGGCGTTGATGAGCCGCAGGCGCGGTTCGCGCCTCGCTATATTCCGCCATTTTCTAGGATCTTTTCCTGTTTCAAAGCCGTCACGCGGCATGCTGTTCTTCGCGCTCTTGCGATGCTTACGTAATCGCGAGATGCTGAGTTGAGAAGTTGCATTATGTTGGGTAAATGTTTGTGTATATATATATATATATATATGTATATCGATTTTTATTTTTATTAAAATTTTTAAAAATTCTGGCGAAGTTTGATTTGGATAGAGTTAATTATACGAGAAGAAATGTGCAAGTCACTGTCATAAAGTCGAAGATCGTTAGCTAGCAATGAAGTAGAGAAAATTGTATTCTAAAGGTCTGTCCCCAAAGGGAATCGATTCCCTTTCATTATTGAAAAACTTTTTCGTTTGGTTGCAGAATCGCTGTTGTGAGCTGATAAAAATGAAAATATGATGGAAGAAATGTCTGATTATCGAACTTCTTTTAAATCTTTTTCAAATTGATTTAATTTCTGTGATATAATTGTTTTGAGTAAAAATAATAATGTTTATATTTTCATAAATTATTATTTATTATTATTTATATATTAATATTATTTATTTTTTAAATAATTTATCTATATTTATCTATATTAAATATGACAAATTTCAAGAATTATTTATAAAAATAAAATGTTCATCGTCAAATCGAAATTTAAATAAATAGATGCAAATAGTCATGTAAAATCGATGATGGTATCGTAAGAGCATAAATATAAAGTCTTAATTGTAGTTTTTTCATGATCATTTGCATTTCTTGATTAAAGATGATAATCATAGGAAAGAGGTTAACTTAATGCAATTTCTACGCATATGTTGTATATAAAATATTTATTTTTTAAAATATTTATAAGAAATTTATGTTTATTATTAATTATTATTTATCACCAATCATTGTTTTTTATCCCTATTATACAATTTCCTTTTCATAATTCAGCAACCGAGAAAGATTGATCTCAAAATTTTCAACCTCTCTCCCCACGATCCTTTAAATCAGAAATTCCCTAAAATTGTCACGATTACAGTATTTCTATCCGAGTTGTTCCATTCTCCTCTATCACCAGTCATTTCCTAGTAGCAAGATTGGTAAAAGTTCGTTTCCGCTCGTCGAGGCAAAGAAATACGCGTTGGCCTGCTGTCGTCAGTCATAGGACGACAGGCAAACAGGCAGGCATGGTACAGTCGCCCGGCTGCCTGACAAGGGGGGATTTCTCCGTTGTCGCTTCGACGAACCAGACAAAAAGAACCGGGGGCCGATAGCCGACTGGCGACCCTTCGCCGTATAAAAGGTTGCAACCCTCGTTTGCCTGCCTGCGAGGGTATATATACGGGCTGTCCTACCCCGAATCCAACAATAGGGTCCAAAGCTTGTCTGCGGGACTCTCCCAAGTAGGATTGGGGCCCCGAAACTCTAACACGATAGAGCTTTTATTTTATTGCCGAAATTATAACTATCGCCAGTCCTTTTTTTTCTTCTTCTTCTTCAAATTCAAAAGATCAAACAATAACTTTTTTAAAGAGATAAGATCAATAAATGAAAATTTTTTGATTTTTGATTTTCCATATTTACAGGGATATCGAATTTTTCTATTTCTTTCTGTTTTTTTATTTTTAAAAAAAATTTGGCCAAGAGAAGTATTCTTATAGATATGAATATTTCGAGTAAATAACGGGAATGTCTGAAAAATTGGAAGTGAATTGTTGATGTTAGAGAAGTTTCGCTTTCGTCAGATTCCGCGAAGATAAAGTCATTGTTTGGATCCCGATGACGCGTCCAGTTCAATTCTTCGTTACCGTATGACGAATACGTGACTGGTCATGATCCCCGATTCTTAGAGTCCTAACGATTGCTCGCTATTCTTACTCCTTCACTATATTTTCTGGCTATAATTCGATATTACACAAGCGAAACATGTTCAAATATAGGTCTACAATGTGATATCACGAAAATTCATTTGTCAGAATTATTTTTATATCGTACCACATCTTGCACCACTTCCTTCCGCAAAATTGATTTTATCCAGAATGGTGATCTTGTAAAGCATAGCAATTAGCAAGTTATTCTTTCAAAAATTCCATCCCGATTATTCATATAAGAATCCACAGCAATATTAATATTTATCAGTTGAATTTAATTATTTTTCTTCTTCAATCATTATTTGTATCTAGTTTTGAAAAAGAAAAAAAAAAAACAAATTAAATCCTCTTCCTCGTTTCATACGAAAGGTTAAAGAACTCCGATCAATCTGGCTAGATTGTCGACGAGAATCGAAAAGAAAATAAAACTATGTTCTCAAATTATTGATCATTTACTCCTCTATATTCCAATAGATAAGTTATCGTGTTTACTTTGAGAGTCACTGTCCTCGTGACCAGATCAAAGGGTCTACCTTTAAAAAAGAGAAAGAGAAAGAAGATTCCTTCGATGTGGCCTAATGTCCGACCCTCGTCAAGGAACAACGCGTAGCCCTGTTGCAGAAAGACGATTGGACGTTTCTCTACCTGGGCCCAGGTATCCAAAAGGCTCTCTCGCAAACAGAGTAAATTCCTTCGGCAATGGGCAATAGTTATTTTCAAGATTTTTGAATGAATCGCAAAATGAATAATCGTAAAATGAATAGGGAGCAATTTAACAAGCTTTCTAAAATCAGTCGAATCATAAATTGTAACGCGATGAATGAATTTTTTGATTATAAAGTTTTCGAGATTAAGAAGTTGGCAAAGAAAGGGATAATATGGTGATGGTGATTTATGTACTCCATTAATATTAAACGTCGGTGGTCAGCAACAGGTCCAATCGTCAGGGAGACCTCGTTAAACTTATACACATTAACCGGGATTTCTCGTTTACCGTAGCGTTGTATAACGACCTTATCGATCTTAGTTTAGTTAACCGAGATATATTTCGAATAGATAAGTGATATGACTCAAAGTGAATTAAGAAGCGTATCTTATCAGGTGGACGGATATTCGTTGACTTTCGTCACTTGCCTTTTGCACGTACGAATCGTGCTTTCTCTCTCTTTCGTGCTTGGAAAGGGGACGAAGGGGGTTAGTCGCGTGCTCGCGATGGTCGGAAGATCGGAACAATGGCGTTGCAACGCGATCATCGATGTGTTCTCACTGCTTGGCAAAGCAAGGTGAATCGATCGAGGGATCAGGTGCTCCTTGATCGTCGTAAATGGAATTCTCCTCGGTCTATACGGTGTTTCCTAGCGTGAAACATTGACGGTGCACACCGATACCTGCTTTCAATTCTTGCTGATAACC